GAAAGAGGCACTGCAGAAAAAAATTTCGGTGAAAGAAAATGAGGAGAGAATAAATGTCCCGGTAAGCAATATTAAGTTTGTTGAGTTTAGTAAACTTCGGTGAAATTAGAATACCAAGGAAAGAATAACACTTAAAGAATTATTGCAACCGTCGAATATTTCAGACAGTAGGCTACTGGGGGAGCTAGCACAAGAGTTATAAGTTATAAGATATAATCCAAGTCGTAACATTGCTGTATGGAGCTGCAGATTTGGTTGCAGGTTAATACTGGCAGTGTCACCATGCCAGCTGACTGTATTTCATCATCAGCCAGTGTTGTTCTTTATACATCAATATTACCAAAGTTTACCATAAGGCAGCACTTACACTACACTGTGCGGTCTAGCTAATTTCTCTCATTACTTATCCTATCTGCCAGCTCCATGTTATGAATAGAGTGTAAATCACCCCATGAATGGCTGTGCCATGTTCAATGCAGGGATGTACAGTTCTAGTTCTTAAGGCTCCTGTACTCCTGGTTTCAGATGTTTCCATACTTCAACACAGCTGATTTAAAGAATCATTTACAGACTTGTGCACAACTAGGTGTTTGGGGATTATTTTATTTGAATTGGCTATGTTGGTATAGGTGACATCTAAAACGTGCAGGATAGGGGTCCATCAGGGCCAGAATTTGACATCCCTGACTTCTAGTCAAGGTCATACATCAGGAAAGTTGTTGTTTGTGACACAAGTTTTTGCTTTATTACTTTAGGGCCAACCAGAAGAATAAGAAGAATGAAAAGATCTCAAAATATTGAGAATTTCTTCCCGAAGAAGGCTAAAATACAACCAGAAGCAGAGAGCAATGTCAGGGAAAGGTGGACTGTCAGCAGTCATCATTGTCATTGTGTTCTACAAATGAAGGTATGTGTGAGAATGAAAAAGGAAAATGCAAGGAAGGGATGTTTATATTGTCAATAGTTCAACCGATCCATAGGTGACGAATCCTAATATTTGGGGATAAATAATTAACTAAGCAAATATATGTAATGTGGCACATAATTGGAAAGTAAAACAAAATCTTGCTTTAAATAACATGTTTTTTATTTAATGATTCACTTATTCTAAATCACTGATAATATTTGATGAAGCATAGAGTAGGTACTTGAGTAAATGTTCACTTTCAAAACATAAATATTTTGCAACCCCAAGTGCTGCTGTTTACAAATGTTTTTGTACTTCGTTTCTTCCTAACATGTAACACACTCTTATTAAAAGTTCAAGAGGTTTATTTTTGCGCAATTCATACTGAAAAAATTATCAAAAGAAGGTATAGAAAGTATTTACTTGCTTTCAGGTTTCATTCAAATGTTAGTCTTTTCATTTGTTTCCCCACTTTTTTCCTGTTTCAAAATCAAACACCAGTTTGTGAGATCATTATCTTCTTTTATTAATAGGCAGATAAAGTTTTGCATTGGCTAATTTGTCAATTGTATGTTAAAAATGTTCGTATTTTAATATTCAAAAATGTTTTTGCCCAAAACATATGTGCACTATATGTCAGTAAAAATACTATGCAAATATTGCTGTCCTTGAATACTGAATAAACACTGACAAAGCACTGATTGTATCTCTTGTACTTTATCAACACAGTATCTAAAAACTTTGCACCGTAGTGGTTAAAATCTCATTCTAATAAGAGTTAAAAGCACATTCGGTTATTAGGTTTATAGGGTTATTGAATTATGGTTAACGGTTGGTAGAATCTTTTTTAACATTATCTGCCAATTACATCTGCCACCCTTCTCCAAATCTGTGCCCCTACCTGGCCCCCCCAACAAAACTTTTCTAGACACGCCACTGTCAGCCTCGGCGCGGTGACGCCATTTCAATGACATCCAAACCCATGAGGATTATTTCTAAATTATCTTTTAATCCCGAGGATGCGTCTGATTTGTTTTAAGTAATCCAGCTGGGAGGACATAAAACAGGAAATTACAGTCAGATTAAGATGTGTTTTTGTAGATGCACATTCGCATTTGCGGAATAAATTATTCCACAAATCAAATTAAATAAAACAAAAATATTGGGCTTATATAAGCAGGTGTGAACCACCCACTTTCTAAGGTACACCCGTGTAAGTCAAATATTTAATCAGACAATCACATGACAACAACTCGGTGCATTCAGGCATGTAGTCATGGTCTGCTGAAGTTCACATGAGCATCAGAATGGGGAAGGAAAAAGATTTAAGTCACCTTAAATGTGGCGTGATTGTTGGTGCCACACAGGTTTGTCTGAGTACTGTGATTTTTCCACACTGCCATCTCTAGGGCTTACACAGAGAAAATATCTAATGAGCAGAAGTTTTCAGGGTAAAAATGTCTTGTCGATACCAGAGGCCAGACTGCTTTGAGCTCTTGGGAAGGAAAAGTATCTCAAATAATCGCTTGTTACAACCAAAGTCGGAGAAGAGCATCCCTGAACGCACAACATGTCAAACCTCCCTAATACTTACTCCCTTATGGCTTAATCGGTAAAAGCAACAGTCCCAGTTTCTAATGTTGCCCACTCCTGAGCGTGTTGTATCACATCCTCTGAAAAGGATAAGCAGTGTTGTGTCACATGCCTCTCCTGACTTAACTCCCTGTGGCTGGCAGACAGGTATGAGGAAAAACCTGATTTCTGTTTGTCTCAGTCATCATGATGTCTTCAATCTTTTATCATTTCACAGTTTCAGACAAAATGTTCAGCAACAGATCAGTTCAGACAATCAAGACACACAAAAAATCTGAATCAGTTAGACATGCAAAAGCCTTCTGATGTTGTATGTTTTGTTTACGCTGAATTGTGCTGAGCACTCTAAGTCCCGGTTTAAGTCGTCAGTGCTGTTTCTTGATCTGTTGGATGTTCAGTTTCTCCTCAGTCGACCACCACCAAGATAATCTCTGTGACAACAGACTGACCCTTCAGTGTCCGTTTCTTATTTATATTTTTAGGATCTGCTCAGATCTCAGTGCTGCTCAATGTTGTTAGACTGGAATTTCATGTTCACGCTGCTGGGTGGAGTAGCACACATGATGTCTTATTCCCAGCTATGCAGTAAAAGAAACACAGAGGCTGATGGGACAACAGGAGATGGGAGACAAAAGGCCCCGCAAGCCATACTGGCTCTTTCACATTTTTTCTCCCTGGTGTAAACTCTGCACACACTGACGATATCTGAACTGTCATCCATGGATAATTACCGCGTGACATCTGTATGAAAGAATTCTGAGTAATGCACCGACATTATGACCAATGAGTTATGTGTGAATAATTAGATGAACTCTGGTGAAGGTCTGTGGAGGAAAGATGGGATAACTGATGGTAACTGCGCATGCCTCTATAGAGCACATTATATACAACAGAAAAGATAGTAATCATTAATAAAATTCTTATTAGTAATTCCTCACACAACATTTCTTGTGCATCAAAGAAACACTCTTCAGATGACGTAGTCTCTAAAACAGGGGTGGGCAATCTCAGTCCACGAGGGCCGGTGTCCCTGCAGGTTTTAGATCTC